TATACCGCCCTATCTCCCTTACGGGACTCAGGGCGGTGAACAGGCGATACTAAAAACCACGATAAATATACACAAGTTTCTGTTCTAAAATCAAATTAAATAACAGGCCTGTTCTAAAAACACCCCATACAAAACCCCCACTAAAACATAATCAAACTACGCCAGGCCGGCCGCACGGAATAGATGGGCCTTCAGGGCTATGATGAAAATTGCAGTCCCAACTAACAAGTCAAGAACTTATCCCTGTAAAGACCAAATTGGATTTTCTCATAGCCGGCCATGCTTCATTGCGGCATTACAAAGATATATTTTGTGATTGCTCTGTTAAGTACTCATTAAGCTACTACAAATTAAATTATGTAAATGATAATTCCTATTATCATTGATCACTACTTCATTAATATATCTTCTTTCCTCCAATTTGTTCAGAGGGCAGTGCAAGTTATAACAGAGCTTATTGGTTTTGGTTTAATATCCTAAGCTACGTTTTATGTTTGAGATCAATGTGTAAAGCCAGTCCTTTAATCAACAAATCATGGTTAAAATGAAGCGTGGCTTAGTCAAACATAAGAATTTAAAAAGATAAGTAGTAACCATACTAATAAAACTCTTAACATTTTAAATAAGTAGCCATTCTAGCATAAAATGACTATTTATTTATTAAATGTCTATGCTGTCCATCTCACCGAAGCAACTCTGGGCAGCTTCAAATATAATAAAAATTTGAAAAGTACTAAAAAAAAATTAAAATTAAATAGAGAAGTTAAACGTTAAAAACCAAGACGATGAATGGCCTGGGGAGAGAATTTTTTTCTAACCTGTCAGCCATCCCCAATGTGGTGGGGCCCTGTCAGTGCCCCAGGCCAAATGGCAGAGCCACATTTTTAGATTATTCTGGAAAGCCAAGAGTGTGGCAGCAGACGTCACATTTGATGGAAGAATGTTCCAGAAGACGGGACCCAAAGCAGAAAATGCTATTCTTCTGGACCTCACCAGTTGAAATTCTTTGGCCAACGGGGTCCAAAGTAGATACTTTCCAGTGGAACAAGTGAGGCAGATTAGTCCATCAGGGTGAGACAGTTCTTCAGATACTCTGGACCCATGCCATAAAGGCCTTTAAAGACAATGGCCAGAAACAAACTGACAGCCAGTGCAGCTTGTGTAACAACTGTGTCACGTGTGCTCCTGAGGCGTCTCCTAAAATTGTGTTCTATACCAGTTTTAGTAATAGAAGGTAAGATTTGACTAAACAATCAAGATTTAACAGCATCTTCACAATATAATTGATAATCCTGTAGCACTAGAAAGCTTCAGAATTATCATACAAGCTTACAATTTCCCTATATATATATATTACCTACCTTAATGTTTTAAGGGAAAATCATGAAAACTGATCTGTCCATATAAATTGGTGCAGTGTGCGACCAGTGGCATCAAAGATATAGAAATGTTGGGTCTACGTTCTGGGTTGAATCAAATATTTTATCCACAAAACATTATTTTTTTTTTCATTGCATTATTATGGAATATGCCAACTCACCTCATAAATAGCCAGATCGATGCCAGCATATGGAATTATTCCCAAAATATTAGGAATATAACCTTTGTAAAAGGCTTTCACCCCTTCCGTTTTTAAAATTTTCTTAGCACAGTCAAACATTCCTGAATATTGACCTGTTTTACCCACTGCCAGTCTTGTTTTTAATACCTAAAGAAATAGCATTGAGCAGAAATAGTTCAGAAGACAATACAATTAAATATTATATCACAAGTTAGTCTTTAACATAGATCCAGAGTATCGGTCATATTTACAGATGTGAGAGTTAACATATGAAAAAAGGAGTTTAAAAAGAAATGTATGGCCCAAACAAGACTTAAGGACATGTAAATCACTCTAGAGCTAAATCATTTCCTTTCGCATCAATTAATTTTGGCTGATATTCCTATCATTGTAAATTTTTAAATAAGAACACGTACACGTACTAAGAACACTTAGTCTGTAGAAATAGGGTTATAGTTTTTGTGCACAACTTGGGAGATTCGCATTAGATTAAAGTCCTTTAAATATACATGCCATAGTTCTCAGCAAAGATGAACTGTTGTGGGCAACTCTAATTCACTTGGAGTATTTAATAATTCCATTGTGGTCTTAAATCATTTAACAACAGATAAAGATATCTGAGACTTTGATGTTTTAAATGAAACTAGAAGAGAGATTTAACTTGGTCTTTGCACATGCAAAATGTATGCTTGATACGAAATGCTTTAAAATGGAACTCTCCTTAGCTTAAGTGATTTTTAGAGTAAATATAGTTTAATATCAGATTATCATACTGAGGAAGGGAGGAGGGAGGGAGGAAAATAAAATAGGGCATTATTAAAAAAAGATGATATTATCCAATACCTACCTCCATAGGATAAATAGATGTCTGTGCGGTTGCTCCAGCCATAGAACCAGATATAAATCGTTCAATAGTTCCTATTTTTCCTTCTTCGTTAACAAACATTTTCTTATACTAGGTAGTATCAAGATACAAAAAAAAAGCACATTAATTCTAAGACCCCAGAACTAATAATAATAATTCTGCCCTGGCATGTGCACAAACTCTGTATGTGTACATATCAAAGCAAATAATTTAGTCAGTAGGTTCTTGCACCATGTGATCAGCTCCAGGCTACCCAATATAGTTACTCTATTCATACATCAAATATTGATATAAATACCCATGGAGTT